ATGGAGGGCAGTGGAAAGACATATTTTAAAAAGGTCACTCAGTCACTGTTTGGGAAATAAATTGTCTCCATGCTGCCAATCTGATATTCTGCAGTCCATTGTCCACAAACCAGAATGAATCTTTTAAAACATTATAGAAAAACCCAGCAGCAATCCTCCCCTGGACATATACCCTCAAATAAAACTTACATCCACACAAATAACTGTACATGACTGTTCAGAGCAGCTTTATTTGTAATAGCCCCAAATTAAAAACGACCAAAATGTTCTACAGTAGGTGAATGATTAAACAAACTGTGTAACATCCATACCATGGAATACTACTCAGCAATAAAAAAGGAACAATCTATTGATACACATTACAATACTGATGGATCTCAAGGGTGTTAAACTATATGAAAAATCTCAAAAGATCACATACTGCATGATTCCATTTATATAACTAGAGTTAAAAAAAATGTACCTATTGGAGGTAATGGATGAAGGGTACTGAGGACCTCTCGGTAGTATCTTAGCGACTTCCTGTGAATCTGTAATTATTTCAAAAGAAAAGGTTTTTCTAAAGAAAGCAGTGCAGAAGACAAATTGTATTTCCGTGGAAAAATATATGGTGTCTACATGCAGCACCCCCACCCCACTTATCTGATTCTACTCTTGTGTTGTCCTTGAACTATTTTTACAACTTTGAAAGTTTAGTTAACTGATAGACACGCCAACTGCCCTGTGTGGTAGAGGTTCCCTTCCCCTCCTCACCCACAACCCCCATAAAAAAAGTTTACACATGAAAAAAACTTATGCCTTCAACTGAACATTCCTTTATTCCATATCAATTTGTGCTTTTTTGACTTTTCCTTGGAATACTATGAGGGTATGGAGTAAGTTAAATAAAATCTTTAATATCTGTTCATTTTTATGTCTGCACAAATCATTTTACCTTTTCTGAAAATTATCTTCTAAGAACATAAATCTCGCCGTGTCACTCCCCAGTGTTACCGCCTCCAAGCTTCCCATTGCATAGAATAAACCCCAAACATGTTCCCAGGTATACAAGGCCCTGAACAGCCTGGATCCAGCCTTTCGGGCTCTGCCCCTCGCCAGGACACTCTGACCACACGCCCTTCTTGCGGCTCCCCGAGAACATCAAGCTTGTTCCCACTTATAGCTCTTGCATCTGCTGTCCCTCAGCCTGGACTGCTCTTCTCATGGATGCTGCTTCTTCATGAGTAAACTCAGCTCAATTGTTCTACCTCAGTGAGGTCTTCTCAAACCACTCTATCAAAAGTAGTATCCCACCCTATTTTTCATGAGTTATTTTTATCTAAAATAATTAGAATAGTGATAGATTTTATATATTATCTTATGTAAGTATAATACATTATATTCCTTATGTGATATAAATATATTTATTATATACTGTATATTATATTATTATTGTTTGGTTAGTTACTAGTTTATTATCTGCCCACCCAATTCCATAATAGTAGGGTCTTGGAATCTGGTTCCATTATATCCCCAAGTGCTTAGAAAGGTACCTGGCATAAAGTAGGCACTGAATAAATATTTGTTGAATAAATCCTTGGGTGAATGATGCTTCCGAAAGTAGTGAAGTCCCCATTACTGGAGGATTTTAAGCATGGTTTATACAACCACTTGACAGAGGCAAAGAAAAACTATAGGTATAGGCTCAGTCACAAGAATATAAGACCGTTAAGGTCCCTTTTAGCTCTATCGGTCTATGATTCTAAGGCCACCACGCCCTTTCTGCTATGCAATGGGAAATACAAAGGGGTATTCCTCAGTCATTTTCCACCAAATGATAGTATGCACACCCCTGTTCCTGCTGCAATATCATCTCAGCATTAAAATGTTGAAGCTAATCAGACATTTAATTTCAAAGTGGAAGGTCATTATCTTGTCACAAAATTTTATTCCAATTACTTTTTTTTCTATTATATGAAATGAATTAAAAGTAGCACAAAACATTGGGAGATCAAACAGTCAATCAGAAGCTCATTAAATATCATTGAAATTGGTGCAATAAAAAGCATTTCCCATGGCTGACATTATTTAAAAGCTATATTCTGGATGGTTCAAGAAACTGACATGCTGCCAATCAAAAAATCACCCTGTCCATAAATAGCCACTTGACTTTTAAAAGTTCACTATCTATTTTCCTGAGATAAAGAGTAAATATCTAATGAGATTTAAAGCATGAGTGCAATTACTATCCTATGAGCCCGTTTGAGACCCTAAAAAGAAGATAACAGCAAAGTCACCATCTGATAATTTAGACTATAACTTACAGAAAGATGCTTACAAAGTGCTACCAGTGATTTATAAACAATTCAATACATACATTTATGTACAATACTCAGCTAAGTACAATCCCAGACAGGAATTAGCAGGTCAGTTACAATTTTAAAATTGAGTTCAACTCCACACTTAGAATCAATGCCCTTTTTATTTTCTAAAGAGTGATTGTTAAGCACTTCATTTTCCTGTGGACCCCAGACATAGGCGACTGCTAGTATGGGGATCTGAAAGCTGTTCATTTTTAAATTTATAATACTTTTCCTCTAAGTGCCCTCTCCCACCACCCACTTTAAAGGAAAAAAAAAAAAAAGCTAAACCACTAATTTTAGCATTTAGTTTTACAGAAACAACCACTTTTTGATGTACAGGCTGATAGGTCCTTTTGGTAGGTAAAATATAACAAAAGAAGTACTGTTCCCAGTCTCTTATGGTGTTTGAAGTAGTGAGGGCGATACAAATTAAAAATACATAAGCAAAAGAAAAAGTCCTCAGGTATAGGAAATTCTTCTTCGGTAGAACTCAAGAATTTCTCCCCTCTACACCCTACCACCACCACCACCACACATACTGCCAGTACCCCAATTTCTTTTCAAAAGCCAAGACTTATTGACAAATTATCTGGGAGTAAAGTGAGAGGAAAACATTTCAATGCAAAATTCATAACTGCTTTATAGAAAGAAAAGTGTGGGGAGGTTTGTTATCATTTATTTCCTCCAGTATATCATTCAATTTTAGCTGTCTCACGTCTCAGAAGCAGCTCTCCCATTTCTCACTTATGTGCCTAAGAAACATCTCCCTGGCATCTCATTCTCTTCCTGTCTTTCACCAGCATTTCATTATTTCTTAACTGTCCCTCTCATGCTTGTCTCCCTTTTTCCTAGTGATCCACGTGTCCTCATTTAGCAGTTTTCAGAAGCCAGGGAGAAACGTTGCAAATAATGTTAAATATGATTAATATCTTGAATTCCTTGAAATATGACATGCATGAGTTACAATGAAACCTCTTTTATTTCCCCATGAAATGCTTTTGCATAATGAGAAAGAAAATGTCCTCTATGCCCTAATCAGCCCTGACAGTTCCTGGACTCCCAAATACTTTTATTTATGGCATTATTTATTTCATCTCTAATAAACGGAGGTTGGGGAGGAACCACAGCACGATCTAAGGAGGTTGCAAGGAGAGACACAGACTCTCTAGGGTAGAGGAACACAGAAGCTGAACCAAGAAAGAGAGAGGCTGCTTCCAAAATAAGAAAGATGTGGGAAATGAGAGGCCAAGGACCTGAACCCCAAGAAAAAGAAAATGGGTCACTTTCCCAAGACTAAAAGGAAAGCTCTGAAAAGGAATGTTATTTCAGAGTGGAGAGATGAGGTGAGTCATACATCAAGGAAGAGATGTACCCAGAATTCTAACCTGGAGAATGAAGATTGAAGGCTGGAAACCAAACCTAGGAGGGGTCTGATGATATTGGATTTGGCTTAGGGGAAGGGAGATTTGGTCTTTAAAAAAAAAGAAAAAGTGGCTGGGAGATGCCAGGACACTCCTCTGGATTTGAAGACATCTCTACCCCATATGGAGATCCTCCTCCACACCACAGAAGGTCTTCTCTCATTCAAACAACTACTGAAATTGTGTGTCCTCCAGAAACCCTGGCCTTGTGGCCTCAGATGCAGAGAGGAACAGGCTGGGCAATGCAGAGTGAGGGCTCTCCGGCCACCCTGGTCTTAAAATAATATTGTTGAGTTATCTAATCTCCATCCCAAAAGGAGGTATCTGGCCATATTTTCTCCTCAATTGCACAGTCTATCTACTATGAGAAGTAAGGATTTGAATTCAAATGACCTGGATACATCTGTGTAAGGAGCCTCAGTTTTCTCATCTGTAGAATGGGCGAAATGATTCTGTTACGCACCCTCAGCGCTCCTATAGGGAATTAATGAAATATTGTTAAAAGTCCAACGCCCTGTGCGTTCTTATGATCGGCATGAGCTCAAAGGCCACGTGCTGGACGTGGGCAGAAGCGCAGGCGTGCAAACAACGTGCAGCGACCTGGGTCAAGATCTTCAAAAGTTTTTCTCAGAAGGTTGGGGGAGTAATTCCTGATCCGCAAAAGAACTGGCTGGAAGACCTCCCCAAGGCACGCACGCACGACGCACTCAAACCACTCCGCCCCGTCCCGCCGAACTACCACCCGCCACGCTGTGCAACGCCGATAGTTTGGGGTCGCGTTGGGGGGCGCCAGGCGCTCGTTTCCGGAGCTAGACGCCGCCGACAGCAGAAGTCTCGATTCCACATCTGGATCTCAGAAGTCTCGCCCTGGCCCGAACCTCGCCCTGTTACCAGGTCGCCTTTCTGGTCCCAGCCGTCCCCTTCCCTCCCCCACCTCCCCGTCGAAGACGCACACCCGGCGGGCCTACCCCGCGGGCAGTGGCGGCGCCAGGCCCCGCCCCCGCCCGCATTATCATTAGCAGATATTACCCTAAACACTTGCTCTTTACTTCCTTTCTCCCTCCAGGCATTGGCGAGGCGGCCTGTCAATCAACTCTCGGGCGGCAGCCCCCCGCGCGGGGGCTCAGCGATGCCAGGCTTAGCGACAGGCGGCAGTGACGGCGGCGGCGGCCACGGCACAGACACACACCCTCCCACACGCGCGCACACGGGCAGAGCCGGCGGGCGGGCGGCGGAGGCAACCTCAGAGCCCGGCGCCGGGCGGGGAGGGGGCGTGCGACCGGGGACTGGCCCTGAGGCGCAGCATGGAGGAGGAGATGCAGCCGGCGGAGGAGGGGCCCAGCGTCCCCAAAATCTACAAGCAGCGCAGCCCCTACAGCGTCCTCAAGACGTTCCCCGGCAAGAGACCGGCTCTGGCCAAGCGCTACGAGAGACCCACTCTGGTGGAGCTGCCGCACGTCCGGCCGCCCCCGCCGCCCTT